AGCAACATTAATCAATGCGATAACTTAGCATAACAGGGAAATGACCTCAACGGAATGAATCTATTCAGCTCACGCGTCATTGTTATTGCCGGGGACTCTCCCTGCACGAATGCGGCGGCGATAAGCTGCGCTTGAATAGCTTTGTGGGTTAGGCCAACAGCATAAATAATTCCCCGCATGATGATAACAAGTGGGAGGAGAAATAGCAGCAGTAGCCGCAACAGTAGCTCACCTGTTATCCACGTGCCATTGAAGCCGCGCAGGCCAGAGGTGCCATAAATGGCACTGATCAGGTCCCACGGCGTCTTCTCATCATCAGCTGTTGGTAATTTGATGATCGAGGCGTGCGACAAGCCGAACGCGCACAGCAAAAGCAGCGCCGCAACAGCATTCATAATTCTACGCCAAAACAACGACAGCAACAACAATGAGAAACACACAGAAGCAGAAACACGCAAAAACGAAAGTGAGAAAAAACGGGAGATAAAAGCGACGACAACGAGCCTCAGGCGCAACAGCTCGCTGCGACGCCACAACAAAAATTGAACTGAAACCGAAATCAATGTTAACGCCGCCTTAAATAAAAATGTTAACTAACATTCGCTGCCGCGACTCAATTGAAGAGCCGAGCGCCGCTAAGAATACCCGAATTCGATTTGAATTGATAAGTGAATTAGGTTGTTCCACACACAATAAGGAATTACTTATCAATTAATTTTGTCAAAACAGTCTTAAGGCGAACTCTTGAGGTTAGTCGACGTGTGAATACCCTGTAACTCTTTCATGTGTATTTAATGTACAGATGATCATTAATGATATTGAATATACCCTCTAGACCTACGCTTGCACATGCATATATACATATTTACATACATGCATATGTATATATTTCCATAGCTTCATTTATTCCATATGTAATATTAGCTTGAATAAGCTATGTAAACGATGCATGATCAAATGTTTTATGTTATTATGTGCTTATCTCAAAATTGATTATGATGAATACAAATAGTCAACCCATAAATACATAATTTAGATACATACATACATATACATATAAATGGATGCTAATTTAACCGCCAGTATTGCCGTGCTGCACTGTTGCATGCGAACGAAAAATTAACATAAGAGCAATGTAAATGAAAAAGAGAGCGAGATACAGAGCTTATCCACGTTTGAGTGATGTTAGATCACGATAATATGTTAAGAGAAGCGGTCTGTTAACTTAACGCTGTGACGTCATTAGAGTGGTGTAACACTGTTAGCGATTAATAAACAAAATAAACTTGGCTGAGCGAACGCATTATATTATTATTAATTACTTATTTTGAATAGATTCTAAAATCGAACAACATGAGGATTTTACTAATTATTTTTGCTCTGACTTTTAACTGTGGTGTTATCTTCTCACCTGCAAAACGTAGTAAAAACAAAATTTTACGACCGTTGCCATTGGTTTTCATTACAGTTGTTATCAATAACAGCTCCTGCACTTTAATTAATTCCCAGCCCTTACCTGAGAGAACTCACCTGTTATCCAAGTGCAATTAACTCCTGCTAATTCCCTAGCTAACGCTTCAGGCAATGTCCAATTCGTCTTCATAAAAGATTTAGCTCTGATTGCACTTGGGAAAATAAGTGTGAAGGCAATGAAAATTGCTCTGAAGTGCATTTTTGAATTACTGCTTATAAATCGCGTCAAAAATAAATATATAACAAATTATACCATCATTATTAATGACCCTAACAGCAGCCGTGGCAAAAAGTAACTAAAACCCTATCCAATGAAATGTAAATAAATTTGAAATGTGGAAATAATTTATAAGAGCGTAACAGTTTTGATATTATATCAATTAATACATTAAAGCATATCATAATAAATCAAAGTAAATTCTGTAGGCATGATACCAATATACCCTATAAGAAGCAAGAGCATACAATAGAAAAAAAGTAAAATAAAAATAAAAATATTAGCCTGTACATATAAATATATATACATTTGATTGAGGGTAGTCACAAAAATATTTGCTTA